TTTTGGTCAACCCACTTTAGAGAAAGATAGATCGGTAAGATCTTCATCAAAGGTTGTAATAATCGCCTCCGAACCCCATCTTGAGTGATTAACTTCAAATCTTGACATAATACGGTTATATTTAGGCAAATATTTCTTGTTGTTAGTTATTAAACTGTGAACTTTTCTATCAGTTTATATTCATTGCCTCCACAATCCACTTGTTGCGTCGCCGCGTCCATTGTGGTCTCAAACCACCGGCAATGTTAAACGCCGAAATTCATGTTTGGCTGAAATATTCCAATTATTTTCAAATAAATGCAGAAACGGTCAAAAGATATTAACGAAAAACATACCAGTCACAAATTCAATTGTTAATTTTTAATAATTAATATTATTTGCCATATTTCCAAAAAAAAAAATGTATACTAAAGAAAAAGTTTAGTAATAATCACGGTTGTATTTCGAGAGATCAATATTGCATTTGATAACCTGACTGTTAGAAATTGTTTCGAACTGTTTTATTTTCTCCTAAATATGCATAATTGGGAGACCGTCCGGCCAGGATTGGGTTTGTGAGCAACCCTGATGAGAATGATTTAAAATAACTCTGCTGCAAGATGTTGCTCGATCAATGCAATTAGGCAAAGTTTACGCGCTAACCCAAAACGGAGTTATGTAGGTACCCGAAAAAATGGCAGCCCATAAGCCTATATACGGTTGTAGTTCGTCATATATTATATGTAGCTCCACCATCTGCTAGTTTCTTTGAATTTTTCCTGCCGTAAAGGGAGATATGTCTCACAGTGGCAGCCACATTAGGCTACATGAAGGGAGTTCGGGCTCCTGGAAGGACTAAACTATAACCAAGTATATGGGCAATCCCCAACGGCATGTGTGGTCAAGGAGACACCCCTTGGTGGTGGATGGGGCTGGGAAAAGGTACTATCCTGCATGAACTTAGTTATTTTTTCAACATTTCCATTTTCAATGCATCATCAGCAGTCAAACACTAATTCAATATGTGTGAACTATCACATATATCCATACATACATATGTATGTTTTAAGACATAAAGGCTTGTTATTGCAAATACAACAACAAATTGTTATTAAAAATACAATACGGAAAAATAAAGCAAGGTTAAACATTAATGTATATATTATAAATTCAATTTAATTAAATTAGATGAATTAGATTAAATTAAAGTAAAAATATTATTAGGTTAAATTGAATTATAATAGATCGGTTAAAATTGGGTAAATAAATTGATTAATTATATTAAATAACTATACGGATTTTAAATTAATTATTTAATTCAAATTAACTTAGAATTAGTTAAGGTAACTTTTCATAAAAAATTACGTAAATTAATTGAAGTCATATTTCATAACACATTATTAGATTAAGGTAGAAAAATTTATCACAAAATTAAATCGGCCATAAATCATAAATGCACATTTAAGCATAATTATAAGCATTTGATTTTTATAACCCACTGTAGCCAACTACATACATACATATGTACATAAACACTTATTACAGCTATACCGATAAATTCACTTGTTGATTCACACCCGATAACACCTTTATAACCAAACAATCAAATTACGCTTATAATTGCTATTCAAGTGGTGTGATATAAAATCTGAACAATGTAGCAGTATATTTGGATTTTATTGTATTATTTACAATACATTGGTTTATTAATAGTTTTGTAGATATCTATGTGTATGAGCATGAACTGCAAAATCCATTAAGTGGCGTTCAGTGTATAAATATTCCCCTTTGATAAGATAAGCGTCGTGAGCAGATAAACAAACCTTTGCGAAAAGCAATCAAAATACAGATAAATACTAAAAAAAACGTTTATTTCTATATATATATATATATATATATATATATGTACATACTTTCATTAAACACTCTATTGATATATTGTTGAAGCTTAGTAGAGACATTTCTTCAGTTTCATTTTAATTTGTTAAACGTAATTATTAACAAATTCAGTTTAAGATCTCGTAAGCATAAGTAGAAAGTCCTATTTTTTTATTTAAAACAAAATATTAAAAAATATATATTATAAATATTAAAAAATATATATTATAAATATTAAAAAATATATATTATAAATATTAAAAAATATATATTTTTTAATATTTTTAATATATTGTTGTTTATTGCGAACCTAGTATAAGTCTTTATTACCGATTCAAAGCTTACATTTCCCGGTAAATTTTGTCAATGGTTATCGATATTTAAAAACGAAAAAATTTATCGATTTCTAATAAACTTTGCAAAGATAACAGTTCAGATCAATTCCTTTTAAAATATAAACGCAGCCTATTTTTTCTGCTGGTGGAATAAGTTGTTAATTGTAAATGCATACATACATATGTAGTACAATATACATTGGGTGTAGTAAAAAGAAATCCATTATTTTTCCGGCGTAACTTATATGTATGTATCTCACGGTGTATAAGTCCGATGGAGCTCAGCTAAATGGCGTTAGAAAGATGACATTTTGATAAGAAATGTAAAAATTAAAGCCATCAATTTTATGCAAAAACATTGGATTTTCTTTTACTACACCTAATATATTTGTAAATACATAGATTTTTTATATTACTGTTATATTATTTTTTTATATTACTATTTATTTGTATATATATATATATTTAATTAAATATATATTTCAGATATATTTCAATATTAAATTCTGACAAAGTTGGCGCTGATATTTACATACGTAGGTATATCAAACGTTCAGAGTGACTGGCTCTATATGTGTGCACACATATGATTATTAGTTATTCTCGGTAAAATAATTTATAATGAAAAATCCGCAGTTACAAGTAAAAAGCATAAGACATACATACGTACATATGTATGTACACATAGATACATACATATATACCATATATCAACAAGTATTACTCATATTCATTGAAAGTAGCTAATCGATTACATTAGTGTGCCATAGAATGGAACTACAAAAATTTACAAACTTTTAAAGCAAAAAAAAAAATTTCAAAATTTTTTCAATTTCAAAAATTTTTTTTTTAAATCTAGTGTTTTTCATTTTACACTAATTTTTTCATTGAAAGCAAATTAATACTTAAAGAATAATAAACTACAATACTTTTCCCATCTCTCTGGTAATTTTCGAATACCGTCTCTAACAAAGGAGCTTTCTCTAAAAGGACATAATCATCGAGCTGTTCTTCGATTTCTTCAAAAAAACCCAAACTGGTGACCGCCAAATCGTTTTGCATCTATCGAAAAAGTCAGTAGTTGAAAGAAGAAGAAAGGTCTAGAGAATACGATGGAAGGGATAACGATTCCCATTTCAGCGTTCCTAGGAAGTTTTTGACCATTAAAGTCACGTAAGGAAAATCAACTTGTCATGCCTTGCGATCGTTTCTGATTGAACGGCATTAATTGTAGTAGATAACGTTTCGAATCAATGGTTGCGACTGATTTTAGCAACTCACAGTGCACTACAACCCTTCCCTTGGTTTTCGACACTGAAATCACTACTTTTGAAGCGTCGAAACCACTTTCTACATGACTTGCCGATTAACGCAGATTCGCCATAGACTTCCACCAGCATTCGAAGAACTTCAACTACACTTTTTTGGTAACTAAAATTAAAAATCTAAAACTTTCCGAGGCAAAAAATAAGAAGAAATGTTCCCAGAAACAGATGCTGATGCACCCACAAATGTGAAACCTTTGCAATTCAATAAGTAATCGTTTTCGAAATCGAACACAAATTGCAGATGAAGCCATCTTTTGATAACGGAACAAATTAAAATGCAGACCCAATAAATAAAAAACATTGAAAAAAAGATTTCAAATGAACATACCAAAATGGAGTATTGTCAATCAGGCAAGCCTGTCGTAGTTCCAGTCTTTTTATACCGGACTGACACGGTTTTTTGTCTGCCAAAAACTCTAACTCCCGCAATATTCCCGGAAAATCCATAAGTGTTAAAATTTAATTAATTTTGTTCTCTTTAACATTATTCAGTTGGCTTTTGTAATTCCCCCTCGTTAACGAAAATATCGATTTAACGAACTGCCTGACACTATTCTGCTCGGTAAACGGAAAACTACTGTATTAGAAATATTGCACTTTTTTCTATTAAAAAAAATTAATATTTTATATTGTAATTGAGGGGCTGCAATAGCCGAGTGGTAAGAATTTAGTTCCGGCATTAGGAATGCCAGCGGTGGGCTCTCGGCAGGGAATGTCAAGCTCTGCGAGTGTATTCCTATTTGTAAATGACAGCTCCTCATAAAAAATCATCGGGCGTTAGAATAAATGGTAAGCTCGCGTATTTGTTGGGACAACATCAAGACGCAATCTAATCCCGGTAAAATATGCACACACACACACTGTGTTTCCTAACAATTAAAAAGCCCACAAATATAATACTACATACATATGTATGTGCATACACATATAAATACACATAGATAAATTGAACAGCCATACAGGCATTCCTCAATAAAGCAACGTGACCACAGGAACATGAAAAAGTGAAGCCGAAAAAAGTATAAAGCAACAAATGAGTAACAAAGTTTTTCGGCATTTTATCGATTTTTTTATTCAACTTTTGCCTTCTGACATTGCATGTGGAAGTTTTTTTGCCGGTTGTCCAAAACACATGCCACAGTCCGCACTGTATGTGGGATGCGATGTGCCAGGCAGGCGTAAAGCGCACACACTCCTGTTTTCAGCTGCGTTAACTGGCGCCGCCAATGTCTATTACGGATGAATTACTTCTGGTTTATTTTTAACTTTTATTTTTTTGGAATTAAGTGAGTAGCAAGGGATGCAAATGCCAAACGTATGTACTCGTATTGTATGTATATTTGCCTGCTTTGGTACACAGGTTATTGAATATTGTACATGCATAAATATGTTTGAGCGCATATGAAACAAAAAAAAAACTAGAAAACACCTTAATAAAATAAATTACAATCGGAGTCTCAACATCACTCCTTCTACTTACCTGAAACAATTAGCGCCTCGTTTGGTCCAGTCGTATGAATGTTGCCCATCTTAACTGATTGTTGTTGCTGTTGTCGTTGTTTGTTGTATCCTTGTCGTTTGTTCTGTATTATTTATCGTAGTAAGAGTACTTTTTGTGATTTTTATAAATGCTATAGTAAAAACTGTTAACTACACAAATACACTTTTACAGTAATGCACTGATACTATTTCACAATGATTGAACACGGTGGGACGAAAAAGAACACCTAAACGTATAAAATGATTAAAAAAAAAAAAAATAAAGAGGAAAAAATAAACATATGGACATATATAATTTTGTTTGGAAAAAGTTAACGCGCTTATATTCATGCCATTGATAACATACATACCATATACATATGTATATGTATGTTTGTATATATGTAGATATACATATTTATAAGGCAGAACAAATGCACAAATTTATGCACACATTTATTTATGGACCGAAGAACAAATATCGATATGCATGTGTTAGAACTTCTCATATCATTTTAGCATACAGAAAGAATTAAGTTAAATTGATGAAATTTCTCAGAGCCACTTAAAAATATGAAGCACATAACATAGGGAGCAGCAACAAAGCTTTGGGTGTTTGCTGATTATAGAACTACGTCATCCCGTGTATACACATGAAGATGTACATATGTATTATATGCATTTAATTTCACGCTTTTTGCAATATGAATTTATTCTACAAATATACATATAAGTTTTTTATTTAATGCCGCGCTATATCAAGAACATTATGCATCGACATATGATTATTCACCAAGTTATGTTCATTGCAAAATATAATGTAACACGTATAGCTCAATGATAATCATTAGCAAAACAAAGAACATCAAATTCGCTGAAAATCTAATTGGAATTCTTGGCTCTCAACCACTTTACCATTCGCAGATATTTTGTTTTGTTTTCATTTTTCTTTCTGTAGCTGGATCTCAGCTAGCGCAGTCAATTTTCTTATCACCTTAATTTTGTAAACCGGTAATTCTTACTTTTTTTTACTATTTTCAGTAGTTCACTTTTTTCTTAACTATTTATCACGTCTTTTCTTTTTAGCCAATAATTGAACCTCTCAGCACACAAATAAACGCAAAACGCGACCGCACTATCTCAATACTCGACTGAATTGACGCAACACACACAAACGCGTTTTCGCACGGCGCGCCTGAGACAAATAACCGCTCCATTTATGACGTCATCCAATGCATTCCACACATGGTGCTACCAGATGTCTAGAAAGACAATAATGTGAACTAAAAAAACTATTGAGGAAAAAATGCAGCCTTCGAATGTGAGCAGAGATTCATAAGCAAAATATGTTCTAAATAGAACAAGTTCTAGCACCTGGAAAACTGGTTTCCAAGAACAGTCAAACATAATCTACTGAAGATGCACGTGAGTAATCTGCACTCATTTTAGAACGAAGCTCCCACTGCTGCATTATACACTTGAGTTTGAAGTCCAGTTAGCTATGTGAATTAACATTGTGCTTATAAAGAACTTACTTGAGTAGTGAAAAAGTTGTTTTAGACTGTGAAATAAATCGCCGTGTGCAGCAAAGTGAATTGTTATTGATCAACCAAATCACGTAGGATTAAAATAGAAAATCATTAAAATTTAATATTTGACGAGGATTATATTATTTACAAGCACAAACAACAAATCTTTACACCTTAAGCGTGAACGTTATCTTTGAACTGTTTTTTTTTATATACAATTCACAAAGGGTGGCAGCGCTGAAATCGCAAACTTTCGAAATCATTTCGTCATCGAAAAATGCGAGACGAACAAGCAAGTTAAGAATATGGAGTTGCCGTTCGAGTTCTTAAAACTGATTTAGTCCACCAATTTCATAATTTTACCAACATAATATGCTTTTCTGTACATTTAAAGTGTAGCGTTACTTTTGGCTTATATTTTTTATTTGAAATTTAAATGAAATGTATCTGCGGAATTTCAATACAGAGCAGAAACATCAATTGCGATATTTTTTTTGTTTGAATCTGGTAGCATTATTACGCGAATGAAGCCAACAAGCGCGGTGATTTTCGTCATTGTATCAATTGGTAAGCAGTAAAAGTTTTCTTATAATATTTGCAAACAAAAAGAAGGCTGAAATATATAGAAATCAAGGGAAAAGTTGTAAAATTACAATAAACTCACACCGCGGTGGTAGTGATTTTAGAGGAGGGTGTAGGTAGGTGTGTAACATCTTTTAAAGGAAAAAGTAACTTCAGTGGAAAACGTGAGACGGTGCCGCAAAATATACGAGAAAGAGGTAGGTAGTAAAATATATTGAGAAAAACACAAATGGGCTCATGGACTTATGTTATTTTCGAGGTCGGCGTTGAAGTGGGCCAATTAGATGTAACACTTTTATATTAAATTTAAGGTAAAACCAGCTTCTATTTTCCCTATTAATCTCTGAACATACGCGTAATGCCATGAGAATTGTGAGATCAAGACGAAACATTCTGCCATTTTTTGTAACAAGATTGCTAGCAACATGTTAAAAGTGGTATAAGGGTTTAGTGTTGCAAAATGCCTAAGATAATTGCATGGGTTGTGTAAAAATCACTTACGTTAATTTCCATTATAAAATTCTTATTGTTTTCACACGTTAATATTTACTTGCTTAATACTTTTTTGTCTTCTTCTTAATTTAGAAGTTTTTAAAGAGTAGCAGCATTAAGCTGCAGAGCGTTTAACACCCCGAATGACTACTGCACAACATTGAGCGCAGTGCTCCCCATTCCTACCAGCTGCCTACTTTTTATACGTGATAAACAATCACCGGCAAAATCACCATCAAATCCTCACACAACATAGCAGACTCCTCCTCATCCGTGAGCAGTAGTAGCAACAACAACCTCCACGCTAGCGTCGATTCTACATCAGAGTCAGAATACGCCATTTCAGGCTCCAGCATCAATATTATGACGGACTACAGTGACTTGGATCGTCAAATTGAGCAGCTGAAACGCTGCGAAATCATTAGAGAGAACGAAGTGAAGGCATTATGTGCTAAAGCGCGTGAAATACTCGTTGAAGAAGGAAACGTACAGCGGGTTGACTCGCCAGTGACGGTATGTGGTGATATTCACGGCCAGTTTTATGATTTGAAAGAATTGTTTAAAGTTGGAGGAGATGTACCCGAAAAGAATTACCTGTTCATGGGAGATTTTGTAGATCGTGGCTATTACAGTGTCGAAACATTTTTGCTCTTATTGGCCCTTAAAGTACGTTATCCAGATCGCATTACATTAATACGCGGCAATCACGAGTCTCGCCAAATTACACAAGTCTACGGATTTTATGATGAATGTTTGCGTAAATATGGTTCGACAGCCGTGTGGCGCTATTGCACGGAAATTTTTGACTATCTCAGCTTGTCGGCTATCATTGACGGTAAAATATTCTGCGTTCATGGTGGTCTTTCGCCATCGATACAGTATTTAGATCAAATAAGGACTATTGATCGCAAGCAAGAGGTGCCACATGATGGACCTATGTGTGATTTATTATGGAGCGACCCTGAAGATCAAACGGGATGGGGTGTATCACCACGCGGTGCCGGCTATTTATTTGGTTCGGATGTAGTTTCACAATTTAACCGAACCAATGACATTGATATGATATGCCGCGCTCATCAATTGGTCATGGAAGGATTTAAGTGGCATTTTAATGAGACTGTTTTGACAGTTTGGTCCGCGCCGAACTACTGCTATAGGTAAGATGATAATTAAGTAGTAAATCATGGAATGCAAATTTTTAATGTTAATATTCGTTTGTCTCTGTAGATGTGGAAATGTGGCAGCAATTCTGGAATTAAACGAGTACCTGCATCGAGACTTTGTAATTTTTGAAGCCGCGCCTCAAGAGAGCCGGGGCATACCATCGAAAAAGCCTCAAGCAGATTATTTCCTCTAAACTGAAACAAAGCAAACAGATCAATTCGCGGGATGGCAACTAAAGGACATTTTGCAAATTCATTAGTGCAGAGAAATGTAAATTCGATATTGCGCTAGAGGAAATATCGAATTGCAGTGGCTGTTTAGAAAACAACTAGCAACATTTTGTTGGTATTTTATTTCCCTTAGCCCATTTTACTTTAAGTTATTTGTGCGTACTCTTACATACATACATACATAATTGTTAGAATGGAAAATATTATTCTTTATATTCTATAATTAATGAATTACCAACACGTACTGACCTCTGATATCAATATTTTATACAAATCAAACAACTAACTGTCCAAATCATGACCAACTATGGAAGTTTTTAAAGATTCAAGTGATCTATACTATGACGTTTACTACCCTTATTCGTGCGATGGATTATATCTTAGTATGCAATTAATTGCGATTCCTTTAAATGTGTATTTGAAAGTAATCATTGCTGAAATATTAATTCGTAACGGTAACAATAGTAATCTGCTTAAACAATATACCTTTTTTAATAATAATTAAATATAACAGAAAAGTGAAATCTGTAACGTACCGTGTATTGAAAAAAATCAAAAATAAAACACAGTAAGTCACTCAATTAGTAAATGGAAGTAAAGGAAAAACTAAGAGATGCATGTACTGCCATTCCTCGTAATTTTCTTATTTTCCTAAAATAAAAAATATCTATTTTCCAACAGAAAACCCCGAAGATAACAATGTATAGTTCAAAAATGCAGAAGAAAAGCTGTTCTTTGGTGGTTATTGAAAAGAACTTAATTATTTAAATTAAAAACAGCAAACAATGTAATAACGTATACATACATACACACATACATACATATATATATATTTATCATGGCATATTTCCCTTAATGTGATTTATCATTTGTCACGGCATAATAAGTCACCGGAAACGTCATATTCCGATCCTTTTAGTAGAAGCGAAAAGACAACTGTCGGTAGGCATTTGCTATTGGCTCGCACTCGTGTTGGCGATTGATATCAACATGAGATCCTCCAATTCTTTAAAAATCACAGATGATAATGTTAACTTGAAAACTCATCATAATTTAAAAAACAAACACTTTCATTTATTTAACTGGATGAATACAAAAAAAATAATGGAGGTCATTTTAAATACATTGAGAGCAAGATTAAATAAAATAAAGTAAAACACAAACCAATTAGATGTAAGATCAAAAAAAATATTACTGTGTTTCAGTTCGCTTTGGAAGGAATGGGTATCGATATTAAAGCATTTTTGAAACAGTATTGCGCAGCCTTCAATATGGCAACCGACTACCACCTACTAGGAGAATACTTTTGAAATATGAACATGTGTATATATTGAAGACGATAATATGTGATGAACACAAAGTTCGGTGAGCTGTTTGAATACAGGTGCAATTTAATACCGACGAGTATTGTCTTGGAACAATATTTTCCAATATTATCCAATATAATTTAACCTTTCACGGAGGTACTTACAACTCTTAATTTTCTTTTCGATTCGGTTTTGTTGCCAAACAGTGTACTTATATACTTAATGTCCTGAACAACACCGTGCAGTATCGTCTTATCGACGGCGACATCGACCGCAGGCATACTACCCTAAAACGTCGGCATATCTATATGGTCAAGCGATGCCGAGCTCGAGAACCGAAGAGAAGCGAGCTATTTTAGCTTACTTTTTACACTGCATCCTTCAGACAAAGCGAAGCAACGTGTAACCCGCCGTATGCGCAAACACCAGCGCGACGCTTGATTTATCCAGGAAAGAGGTTCAGGGGGTCATGGGAACGTTGAAAGCCTAGAAATCCATCGGCACCGACGGAATAAACATGCTGATGCTAAAACATATTGGACCAGCGGGAGCAGACTTTCTCACCAAGGTCCTCCACTTGTCTTTGACCACCCTTATGATACCTGACATGTGAAAAACGGGCAGGGTGGGCCCGGTGCTCAAACCAGGGAAACTACCCAATAGAAGAGAGTCTTATCGGCCGATAACTCTTCTCTCCGCAGTAGCAAAGACACTTAATTCCTTGCTGCTCGCGTCCTCACTCATCATCCGCGTCCAGCTGCATATCAACATGGCTTCCGCTATGTGCACAGTACCACAACAGGACTAAGCGCCATAAACACTCAGATAGTCAATGGCCTTAACCAAAACCGACCCTGCGAGCGAACTGTGCTGGACGCACTGGATCTGTCAAAAGCTTTCGACACCATCAACCATTCAGTACTACTAACGGTCATTGAGGAATTCTCATTACCGCCGGGGTTGCAGAGGTGGGTAATGGGTTACCTGAGCGGTCGACAATAATCGGTAATATTCCGAGGCGAAACATCGAAACCCAGAAAAATTAAGCAGGGTGTTCTGCAGGGTGGTGTCCTCTCCCCACTATTGTGCAATTTCTACTTATCGAAACTTCCTCCTCCATCAGAAGGAGTTTCCCTAATTTCGTATGCCGATCTCTGTTCGAAAGTGAACGACTACCTCGCTGATCTCCCCCACTTCTTCTTTGCAAGACAGCTAAGAATTCAACCCACGAGATCCTCAGCTACCCTCTTCGCCAGGTGGACGAAGGAATACAGGCTTTAATTAGATAAATTCCGACTGTAAACAACCAAAAGATTTTGGGAGTAACATTAGATAGCCTGCACTCCGTCATTCCGCATACGACAGCACCTGGGGTAAAGACAAAGAAACTTTGCTGGCAACTTATAAAGCAATTGGCCGTCCGGTTGTAAACTATGCTGTACCGATCTGGACGCCGGGGACATACAGGCACATAACGCCATTCACCAGGAGTCAGTCAACTCCTTGAAAGACTCCCTTCTAGTGAATGGCGGGTCACCCGCGTGACCCTGGCACAACTTATGTCTGGATACTGTAGCAGGTTAAACTCCTACTTAACCAGACTCGTCACCAGTATATCCAACGTATGCCCTGCATGTGTAGAGGGGGCACGCATGCCGCCTTAAACTGACTCATCTAACTCCTCTCTCTCTTTGGTCCAATCCCGTCGCAGACACTGCTTGCGTGATTTTAGCCGACGAACAAAAACCAAAATCTACCCTCTCTATCCTAGTCCCTCAGCCTTCAAGTCCCGCTATATGGTACGGAAGCAGGGACGATGACATCTGATGAGGGGCGTTAAGAGTTTTCGCTTTAGTAAGATTTATGGTCCTTTGCGCGTTGGCAACGGCGAATATCGCAGACGATGGCACGATGAGCTGTACGAATCAAGAAGCAGCGGCTATGCTGGCTAGGTCATGTGGTCCGGATGGATGTGAATACTCCACCTTGGAAACTTTTCGATGCAGTACCCGTCGGTGGATGCAGAGAAGAAGACCTCCACTTCGTTGGAAAGACCAGGTAGGGAAGGACCTGGCTGTACTTAGCATTTCCAATTGGCGCCAAATAGCGAAAAGAAGAAACGAATGGCGTAATGTTGAGGCCGATGATGTCAATATAATCGGCGCACGCCAGTGGTTGTACACTCGTATAGAATATTGTACCTTTTCTATTCAGCTCTGCATCCCTTATTATTCTCTCCAGCATCAAATTGAAGAAATCACACAACAGAGAGTCACCCTGTCTGTTCTCTAGATCTAATTTGTAATTAATTAATATCTGCTGTAATTTTGTTTAGAGTTCGAATCATTGCAGTTATTAAATCAGTTAAATATTTAAAGAATTGTTCTAAAGTTTTATTGTTAAGAGTAGAAGCTATTGGAGAAACTTGAGGTCTATTAATTAAATCGAAAATTTTGATAGCAAAAATAATAATTTCATCTTTATTTTGAATTCCAAAGGAAGTTAAATAAATTTCTATTTGTTGAGGTCGCTTACGAATCCATGTTTAAAAAGCAATTCGTTCCTAACAATTGAATCTGAACTGGTTAACGATTCCACGGTGAACGTTCATCATATTCAGTATTTGAAAATAATTGTTTCAATCCCTTTTCTTCACTTCACAGAAAATCTCTTACAAAGAACTTTCTTAATAGTTTCGTATTTATTCGAGAATGGAGGTGGGTTAATAACATCTATAATTTTAGAAATAGTTTCTCGTTGGAGAGAAATTAAAACATTTCGAATTTGAATGTTGTCATTATAAATGTTGTTAAATTCAAATTGTCCTTCAACAAACAAAAACCATGCTTCAGGGCGTTCATTCCGCAAAGGAGGTAATTTAATGGATTTAGAATTAGGTCTAAAATTATCTCCAAGATGTGTTAAATTATGTTTGGTATTTAAATCTGTCTTAGAGTTGGTTAACTGTAAATGAAAATAAGTATCTCAACTAATTTATATTTTATATATAAATAATTCTTGATGTGGCTCAAGTATTCGAAAAGACATGAAGGACTTATATACAAAATTAAAATGACTTTGCCAAAAAATATATATCAGATCTTCATATCATACCCACTAACAGAAGGTTTACAGTTAAGGTAAAGATATTGATCTCAGAGGAATATCCAAATATGGCA